TACAATACCAAATTGTTGAAATTATTCATTAATTATTAAAATATATTTACGGCCAAAAACCTTCACACACATACTATTCCGTTTACAAACAAAAAAATACACTTTATTTGAGTTCAGTACGTTAATAAAGACCCATAATAAATAGTTATTCTAATTTATCTTTAGCTATTAGTTGTAGCTCATCTATGAACACTTACATTTTAATTATGTGTATAAATTTTATGACTAAATAAATATTTGAGTAAATGTATCATAGTATAAATTTATTTATATTTGGCTCTATGGATAGCAAGATCAACGTCATCTTGGATCTAGAACACGTACTCAGTAAACTAAGTTTCCAGCCAGTTTACAAACCATCTGACACGACAACCTCTGGGAAATCTCTCATAGAAATTGTTTTGAAATAACTCTCTTTAAACTTCTACTTTACACAGTTGCAGACGAAAATGGCACTATTCAAGTCTATAATTCTATTTATTTGCAATACATTTATATTGAATATGATATTAATGTAAATAGAAATTAATGTGTAGCAAGATAATAAAAATATATACATAGCACCATCTAATCGCAAACTAACTAGATGCTATCTACAATAGATAGGTCTACACTAATATTATAAGAGCTTGTTTGTATTTTTGTATATCTGTCACGAATGTACCTAATAACTACTTTATCGATTTCAAAAAATATTTCTCCATTAGAATTCTACATTATCACTAAACACTTGAACAATTTACACACACGTAAAAATAGGCTTGTTTGTCATTGTAATTATATAATAAAAAATATGTGTGAAATAAATAATATTTAATAATGAAAAGTCATTCGTTAAAAATATTAATCACTTAAGTTTTTGTTCAAAATTTCAATGAAATCGTAATTAAATACGTTTAATAAATTTAACAGCAGTGAAAAGAGACCTATATAAAATAATAAATAAATTCTCATTATTTACTCATATCCTGTTTCACGGATATACGCATTTTCTGTGAGAGGAGTGATAGTTTAAATTCATTCACGTTTAAGTATCTGTGAAAATAATAATATTATTGGTATATTAATAAAGCATCAAAGTAAACCTATACTTTTATAAAACTCCGTTCAGAATACGCTATATTGTTTAGTCGATAAAGCGCATGTATAAACTAGTGATTTTAAAGTAGTGAAATTTATCGATGCAGTATCGTATATATTAGTACACAATATTATAAGTATAGTGAAGTTCACTGCAGTTTGTTGGTGCAAGATCAACGTAACAACTGCGAACTGGGCCGTTAGGGAAATAATTTTAGTATTTTAACTCTGTGTTTAATATTATTTTTTGGGCTTCTTATTAGTGTAGATATAAAATAAAAGTTCGACTTACGGTTGATAAATATGTATGTATATATTGTCCCAACACGTAAACACAGTTACACTTAGATAGGAAGAAAGTATATACAGTAGAAGGAGAAGAAAGTCACAAGCACAGTAAAGAAATAAGCACAGAATGAATATAAGCACTAATGAATAAGGTGATATAAATGAGAATAAGAGAGCAATATCAATTACAGTACGGCCGATTTATCAAGCGAGTAGCGAGCGTTCCGCGTCATAGATAGTTCTCGACTGGTTTGGTAATATCGAATTGAATGTGCGCTCGCGCTGTTGGCCGGTTCCTCGGCGCGCTGACTACCTACATAGCGAACAAAAGAGTTGTGACGTCAACCTCTTATTGAGCGTTTCTGCACGCTGCAATTGTACTAGACGAACCGGTACGGTTTAATATTGATAAAGTGTAAATAAATATTACGTATATATTTCTGTATAAGTATATGTATATTGTATGTAATTAAGGTTATTATTATTAAATAATTGTTTGTAATAAATATTTGTAAATAACTATAAATAAATTTATGAAACTGTGTATTTATGTGTGGGAATCGCCTACACCACCCCCCACCAGAGACCGTCAGGGGCGATAAAAATTTGTAAACTTCACACGCCGCCCAGAGCGAGTGATACGGTCTTTGTGAACTTCAGGCTGGGGTTCCTCATCTTGTTCTCTAAGAATGAAAGCCGGTTTTAATCGGTCTATAGAAACCGTGACTTCCTTATTTTTGTGGAGTATTTTAAAAACTTTATCTCCTCTAGTTAGAACCCTATGTGGGCCGGAGTAAGCGGGTTGGAGTGAACCACGTGATGCGTCCTCACGTAGGAAGACGTGATCACTGGTGGTTAATTCCTTGTGGATGAAACATTTTGTGGTGCAGTGCCGCGAAGCGGGTCCCGGACGTATGTTTTCAGCAAATTTTCTAAGGCGAGCGGAAAATTCTGATATATCAGTGGTTCCGGGTACTGTGGCCTCAAAAAATTCGCCAGGTAGTCTTAACGGCTCGCCGTATACTAATTCTGCCGACGAAGCCTGTAACTCGTCCTTAAATGCGGTTCTTACACCGAGCAAGACCCACGGCAAGGATTCTGTCCACTGGTCATTAGCGTGACATACTATTGCCGCCTTGAGGTGCCTGTGGAAGCGCTCCACGAGACCGTTGCATTGTGGATGGTATGCGGTCGTCCGTTTATGCTCAAAACCAGTCATTTTGGACAGACTTTCGAACAGTGCTGATTCAAATTGCCGTCCACGGTCGGTTGTAATGACTAATGGGCAACCGAAACGAGCAATCCACGATGACAATAAGGTTTTCGCCACAGTCTCCGCAGTAATGTCTTGTATCGGTACTGCTTCCGGCCATCGTGTGAAACGATCTACGCCAGTAAGACAATACCGATAGCCTTGCGAGACTGGCAGCGGACCTACCAGATCAATATGAATCTGAGTGAATCTCGCCCGTGGTAATTTAAAGTTAGCAAGAGGGGAATTGACGTGCCTATTAATTTTTACACGTTGGCACGAAATGCAGACGCGTGCCCAGTCCCTACAATCTTTCCTAACACCTGGCCAAACGAACCGTTCCGCTATTAATTTGGCGGAAGCTTCTTGTCCAGGGTGGCTAAGGGAATGCAGGCTATTAAAGACTTGCTTTCTGAAGGGTTTTGTTACAAAAGGCCTGGATGTCGCTGTACTGACGTCGCAGTACAAGGGTAAGCGACTTCCAGGTATATGTAGTTTTTCGAGGCATAAAGATGATCCTTCCTCGATGAGTTTTGCTAACTCAGCATCGGTGACTTGACTTTGGGCTAAGAGGTCGAGATCTACTGGACTGCTCAATTCATCAATACGCGACAGAGTATCCGCTACGACATTATCCTTGCCGGATATGTGCCGAATGTCGGTGGTGAATTGAGCGATGAAGTCCAGGTGCCTATACTGCCTAGGCGAGCAGTTTGTCTTCCTTTCGTGGAATGCGAAACTGATCGGCTTGTGGTCGGTATAAACAATAAAGTGCCTGGCTTCGAGCATGTGACGGAAATACTTTATAGCTTCATAAATAGCCAGTAACTCACGATCGTAGGGGGAATATTTTTCTTGGGAAGTTGTTAACTTCCGGGAGAAGAAAGCTAAAGGTTCCCACAGATCGTTTTTATACTGCTGTAAGACAGCACCCAAAGCCTTATCGGATGCGTCCGTCACCAATGCTAACTTAGCACTGCAGTCTGGGTGGGCTAACAAAGCTGCGTTAGAGAGTCCGTCCTTACAGGACTCAAATGCCGATAGGGTGTCACCTGATAAATTGATTGGGTGTGATCCTTTTACAGCCCCAGTCAGCAACGCGTTTAAAGGAGCTTGAGTTTGGGCAGCTTGAGGAATAAATCTCCTATAAAAGTTGAGCATGCCCAAAAATCTCCTTAACTGACGTACGTTGGTGGGGGTAGGAAAGTCCCTTATGGCCTGCACTTTGGAGTCCAGTGGTTTGGTGCCATGCTCAGAGATATTGTAGCCTAGAAAGGTTACCTCTTTAGCCCCGAAGACACACTTGGACGTATTAACCAGCATGCCATAGTCTTTTAGCCTCCTGAATACCTTACGGAGGTGATCCTCATGCTGTGCCTCGCTCCTAGAGAAGATTAGAAAGTCGTCGAGATAGCAATATACGAAATCGAGGCCTCGGGTCATCTCATCGACAAATCTTTGAAAGGTTTGCCCAGGCATTCCTAAGACCAAAGGTCATGAAGGGAAATTCGAATAACCCGAATGGCGTAGTTATTGCTGTCTTCGATATATCGTCAGGACTGACAGGTATCTGATTGTATGCCTTCACGAGATCCAGCGTACTGAAGACTTTACAGCCTGAAATGCTGTGTGAAAAGTCGTATCGGATACCTGTCAGGCACTGTACGAGCGTTAAGCAACCTGTAATCCCCGCATGGACGCCAACCGTTGTCCTTCTTTGGCGCTAGGTGCAGAGGCGATGACCAGGGGCTCTCCGAAGGCCGGGCTGTGCCGCTGGTGATCATCGACTGAAATTCCTGTCGCGCTATTTTAAGTTTATCGGGGGCTAGGCGACGGGGTGAGCTAGATACTGGAGGGCCTGGTGTCGTGCGGATATGATGGACGGTGTTGTGTGGTATTGTGTGATGTGTACCAGCTGGTCTAGTGATATCTGGAAACTCATCAAGAATTTTATGATAACGAGAATCACCAGTCAAGACCTTTACAGAGTGAACATTTTTACAATCTACAGATGTGGCAACAGAAAATATAGATGTAGTATTATCTATCAGCTTTTTATTGCGGCAATCTACTATTAAATTATAAAATTTTAAAAAATCTACTCCTATAATAGGTTTGGTTACATCAGCAACTACGAAGCGCCAACTATAGTCTCTATGCATACCAAAATTTAAAGTTAAATGTACATAACCGTATGTTGATATAGTTGAGCCATTGGCTGCACACAACTCGAAGTTAGTAGGGGCACGACGATCACGCAGCGCCGACCGGGGGAAGACACAGAGGTCGCTACCAGTGTCGACCAGGAACTGTAACTTCGAAGATCGGTCGGTAACGAAAAGGCGACCAGTAGTAGAGGATGGGCAATCGTCAGCCGCCATTACCGACTGCCCATGGAGTTTCCCGCCATTTTAAAGTCACAGGGGTGGATACAGTGGCTGGCCTTATCGCCGAATTTACTGTGGTACCAGCAGATCGGGAATTTGCGGTAATTAGACTGTGACCGCGATTTTGACCGAGATCTACTGCGCGTGGTACGTCGAGATGGTCGTTGCTGGTGCTGTTGCGGAATGCCTCTATTAGTCGTCAGCGACTGCATTTGCCTACGAAGCTCCGCGACTTCCCTTCTAAGGTCACTGAGCTCCGTATTAGAGGAGGCCTGGTTCATAGAAGCTACCCTGGGCGACACTACAGTGAGGTCGTTTACCCGGTCTGCCAAATCTGCCAAGTCATCCACGTGAGTAGTGGCAGGCTGTCCCGCTAACACCGTCTGGACACCATGTGGGAGACGACTGATCCATATGGTCTTTAGGAAGTCGTCCGGAACGTCGATACCAGCCAGTCCCTTTAAATGGCGAAGAAATTGGGAGGGCTTCCGATCTCCTAGCTCCTCATGCATCAACAACTGCTTCAGCTTATTTTCATTTGATGCCGTCAGCCTCTTGATGAGCTCAGCCTTGAGCTTGTCATATTTCTGCGTCGCGGGAGGACTTATAATAATATCCTTCACCTCTCTAGAATATTTATTGTCCAACTGGCTGATGACATAATTGAATTTTGTAGCGTCGTTGGTAATGCCGGAAATTGAAAATTGTCCCTCCACCTGAGCGAACCATATTTCCGGTTCTTCGGGCCAGAATGGTGGTACACGGACGGATACTTTATAAACCTCCGCTCCGTCGCGACTTGCACGGGAAAATTCTCGTCCGTCAATATTCTCGTCAGAAGTGACAATGGAACTGCGCTCTCCGCGTTCCACAGCGCCATATTGTGTGCCTTCTTGTGCGTCTTGGAATTCTTTATTCATGTTTAAATACGGGGTCACCAGTTTGGGCTTCTTATTAGTGTAGATATAAAATAAAAGTTCGACTTACGGTTGATAAATATGTATGTATATATTGTCCCAACACGTAAACACAGTTACACTTAGATAGGAAGAAAGTATATACAGTAGAAGGAGAAGAAAGTCACAAGCACAGTAAAGAAATAAGCACAGAATGAATATAAGCACTAATGAATAAGGTGATATAAATGAGAATAAGCAGAGCAATATCAATTACAGTACGGCCGATTTATCAAGCGAGTAGCGAGCGTTCCGCGTCATAGATAGTTCTCGACTGGTTTGGTAATATCGAATTGAATGTGCGCTCGCGCTGTTGGCCGGTTCCTCGGCGCGCTGACTACCTACATAGCGAACAAAAGAGTTGTGACGTCAACCTCTTATTGAGCGTTTCCACTGCACGCTGCAATTGTACTAGACGAACCGGTACGGTTTAATATTGATAAAGTGTAAATAAATATTACGTATATATTTCTGTATAAGTATATGTATATTGTATGTAATTAAGGTTATTATTATTAAATAATTGTTTGTAATAAATATTTGTAAATAACTATAAATAAATTTATGAAACTGTGTATTTATGTGTGGGAATCGCCTACAATTTTATTTCTTATAATACAGCGAATTAGATTTAAAATGTAAATATCTCAAACATCAAAACAGCGTCACGTACGTATATAGTAATAAGGGGTGACTTTGTATCCTGGAGAGAAATTTGTAGGAAAGAAAGATAAAGACGATAGGTTTGCTGACTAAAAAAAGAAGATTTTCCAAATATAAAATAAATAAAAATTCGTCAATTTTTCTTTAATTTAAACCTTAATTTGTTATACCTAAATATTTTTGAGGGCAACAGAGTCATCAGGAAGAAATCACGTGTTTGACTCCTGATGACTCTGTTGCCCTCGACACGTGATTACATTTTGAAACACTATTATTAGTTTAAAAACATTATTATTTTATAATATTACTTGCACTGCACTTTAGAATCTTAAAATGTATAAATAATGCAATACGAATTATATGAAAAGAAGTAGTTATGTAATATCATTTCCAGTTGTAGAACTACAGGCCTCGGCTACGAAAGAAGTGTCGTAGCGAATAACAAAACCTACTACGAGTTTCGTGCTTCCAACTATAAACTTTCCGTAAATTAAAGTATTACTACGAATAGTATTATAGATATGCGATATATTCTCTGGTATTACGTAATCACGAATAATAAATTTCTTCTTATGCGAACGATTTTACTTCATTTTACCACTCTACTGAAGAAAGGAAGGCTTTGTTGTGTATGTATCTGAACTTTAGGGGAATAATTAAAGAAGGGTGCATATAGACTACATTTCGTATTTCGTATTTGAATAAATTTAAAGCAATTTTTTATAATGATCATATGTACCTTTATACATACTGTATAAGAAAGCTTTATAATTTATTACCGGTAAATTTATACTCCTTCATGCATAACACAATGACAATTGTAGTGTTTAATAAATAATTAAACATGGACAAACATGTTAAACGCGTCATTGGTAACATATTTATTATTGCAAATCATTACATAATTTAGGTAACCTCTAGAGAATTAATATAATTACAGTTTTCCTATTTATTCAGGCAACAATGCAGTTTAAATAGAAATGTTTTATTTACATTATTATGCAAATATATTCATAAATATATACAATTATACGTTAAAATAACCTGAATTTGAAATTACCGAATGTATATTACCGCATCTCTTCAGAACGGCAAAGTTTGAAGTTTATTTTTGTATTTGTTCTTATTAGAGCAAGGTTCATGTAAATGAAAATGCTTATAAATTTCTTTATTTATATATAGTATATAAATAATATAGTGATAGTTTTATATGAAGTGTAAACGAAACATATTAAAATGTTCCAAGCATTTGACACATAAACCGCATAACGCCACGCTAGTTATCAACAACATTTTCTCACTAATGGCTACACCTACATATGTAGACTATATACACGGTATATGTATAAATATGCTGTGGCCTACAACGGTTGCACGTGTCCGCATACCCTGTGATGTTATATTCAAGTCTAATAACCCCTAATCCTCCTGCCTACGTCACAATTACTCGCTTTTGTCCATCAGACAGGATTTACTGCGCTGTCTATGAATGCATTATAATCTATGCATAATGCAGCAAGCGTAAAGTGCACTGATAGTATATTTCCCTGTAGATGTGAGGTAATACGTAATACAGTGCTTTCGGCGGAATATTCTGGAATAATGTCATTGTAATAGTAACATATTGGTATTAGGAATAATGAATATTGCTGAAAGCGTAACAACACCAACTTGCAATGAATTAGACTTAAAGTAACATAATAATAATAATAATCCTTTATTCAACATAGCATAATACAGAGTGAAAATATAAAAAAACTTAAAAGCTAATATCGCGTTATGAGCTGAAAGGGCCTTCACTCAGCTGCGAGTCACTGCAAGGCGCTGATTTTCAGTGGAGCCACACCTAAAAAAAAGTTATAACATACTTCATACTTTTTTACTTTAAATATTTAAAATGATAGGAGTGAGATAATTGTATGAATTAGAAGTATGTGAGGTTATGTTATAGTCATATACGAGTACAATACTAGCGAACCTGGTAGACATTCGTATACATTTTCCTGTCTGGAAAATCGCAACTTACCAAATACAATTGTTTTTTAAAATAATTCAGGAACCCATTGAAATATATACAAAATTTAGTCGTAGTAGTTAAGTGATAAACACACCTGCAGTATTTTTTAAAGTTAATTTAAACAACAAGTAATAGTAACATAAATCTAATACTATTAAATTCTTTATTTTTTGTTATATTCAGACATCTTCATTACTACTGACGACCTCGGTGGCCTAGCGGTCTAGCACACCGCTTTACGTCCGATGGTCGCGGATTCGATTCCTCGCACGGCACAAACATTTGTATTCATGAGTATGATTGTTTGTATCGGTCTGGGTGTTTTGTATGTATAATCTGTATGTATTTACGAAACAAAAAATTATCTATGTATTTGTATTAGTTGTCTAGTACCCATAACACAAGCTTTAGTTAGCTTAACTTAGGTCTAGATGGCGTTGTGTGAATTGTCCTGAGATTATTATTATTACAGTATATAACAAAGTCGCTGTCGCTGTCTGTCCCTATGTATTCTTAAATCTTTAAAACTACGCAACCAGAATTTGCTAAATGCAATATTGCTATAGGAAGATCCAGCTGTAGAAAAATACATAATTATTTATTTCGAACTATAAAAATAAATCATGAGAAATGAAAATGTTGAGGGTTATGGGAAAAAGGGAAAAGAAACTAAACAGTTTTATTTCAGCATCTTAAAAAGGATTAAAACTATCTACTGATATAATATCTATGTCCATGGATTTAATTTACGTCCGTAGGTCAAATATATTATTAAACTTTAACTTTAACTAATACCTAAAATTTTTACTTATCCATATATGTATGGCACCCTATATTGCCACAAACGAGGCAGCCCGACAATTACTAAATACTCGTAAGTCTTTAGAAAGAGACCCTATGTAATAGACTAATTTAAAAGGCTTTAATATTATTAGCCGAAGAGGCTCGTACGTTACGGAAGTAGCGCTGCAGCGCTGCAATTAACATGTCCCTGTGTACTTTGTGGACGATTCTTGTGGATTTATTCGATTACTGTTCATTAGGATGCACACAGCGCTCGCTTTGTGATGCAAATTCCATGTTTTTGTCCGGCCCGTAGCGTGCGTGCAATTTTATACACTGCAATGTGAGCGATGTTCAAATAGAAAACATGTTGATACGAGTAGTGGTAGTCAGGGCACTTATTACAGCTGCCAACTGAAAACAGTGGATATACGAGTACAGTACATGCATATAGAAATAAGGCGAAAAATATTGTATGGGACTTTTTCATTTACAAGATGTCATATAAGAACCGATTAAGTAAATAAAGCTGATTACACTATAGCGAGAGAAGGAAATTAATAAGAAAACCGTTCACCAAACTACCTGTGGCACATAAGCTGTATCTCTCTATTATGAGAAGAGATCAAACCTGTTACTCCCACAAATCTAAAATATCAGTTCAAACTGCAAACAAAAAAATATTTACTCTTAAATACAGATGTATCAGTTTAATTTTATGCAAGCCATAAAATTAATAAACATTTCAATATGAACACATTAACACACTATGTATTGTTTTTCAAAATATTTCCTGCCACATCTAAAATACATTTTGCACTTTTTTCAACTATTTTTCTACATGGATATTTAATGTCTCAGCCTTAATACAAACATTTCTATAACAACTCTAAAAACATAAGGGCTGCCGTTGTACACACCCATCTTTTGCGTACATATACAAAATAAAGTTAGTAGCTCTTGGCTCCGGGACTACCTAAAACAATTTCATAAGTGGAATGCAGCTCAAGTTTGGCTCAACTTTATAAAATTCAATATTTTGATGCATCGGGACACGCTCCAAACTGACTCAAACAGTGTCGAGTTCAGCGATGTAGGACTTCTAGATAAAGATAGTAAATACAATTTCTGATCCTGTAGATCAGTGCTTTCCAATCTGTGGGCTACGACCCACAACCAACGATCCTAATGATAATGGCTTCCCGACCTACATTGGTCATGATAACTTCGTGGCGCAAGAAGGTAATTATTTATCTTTTTAGATAATCTATATCTTATTATCTAATCTATAATAATCTGGAATAGAAGCTGTCGTTCCTTCCGATGATAAGTTGTAATCATTACCAATATTCAGAAATATGAATTGCCATTCAGGAGGACTCAGGTGTCGTGTCTCTGTACCTTATAATTTCACTGCATATAAACCGAACCAAAACCAAAAAACATATTTCATGTCGGCTAGAATAAATGAGACTGAGATACTACTTCGTAACAAAGTCGC